CTGTTATTTAGTGAATAGACATATGAAAATTTGTTTTTCAGTCTTTGAGCCACTAATCTTTATTTTCCTTCAAGAACCCTTTGAAGAAATTGAACTACAGCACATCACTTCATCAGTGTTCTCATCAACAACATAAGTTCTCATCAACAACATAAGTTCTCAAAAATTCAAACAAGTGCAGTGGTAGATTAGGCTGCCATTTAGGATGCCCACATCCCATATCAGAGGGGCAGTTCAAGCCCCAGCTCCTCTGCTTCCAATCCAGATTCCTGCTGATGGACCTGGGAAGGCATCAGAAGATGGCCCACATACTTGTGTCTCTTCCACCCCTGTGGGAGACAGGATAGAGCTCCAGGCTCCTGGCTTCAGATTGGCTCAGCCTCAGCTGTTTCAGGCATTTGAGGAATGAACCATTGAATGGAAAAATCTCCCTCTCTCCATTTCTATAATGCTACTTTTCAAATAAGTAAATAAATAAATAAATTCTACCGATTGTCTGAAATAATTTGCTTCTGGAAGTTGATAACTAAGCTGACTTTTGCTTTATAAGTTTTAATAAAGTAAATTCTCTTATACCATTATGAGATAGAAACTGTCTCTGGAATCAAAAAGAAACAGCTTGGAGATAAATTACTCAATGTAGTCATTTCAAAACTTTAAACAGAATAATTTTAAATAATTACAATACATATCCTCTCCCATTTAGCATTTGAGTTCAGTGAATGTGGTTATTGTGTTTATAAATCTAAGAGCTTAACTATAATACTGCAGCTACTGTAAACATTCTATCGGAATAACTTTCCCCAATTTTATCAGAAGATACTTTATAGGACTCCTACATTGCTCAAAGACTCTCTGGGGCCTGGTGCTGTGGCGCAGGTTACTCCTCCACCTGTGACACTGGCATCCCATATGGGCACCAGTTCTAGTCCTGGCTGCTGCTCTTCCAATACAGCTCTCTGTTGTTGCCTGGGAAAGCAGTGGAAGATGGCCCAGGTGATCGGGCTCCTGTACCCAGGAGGGAGACCAGGAAGAAGCACCTGGTTCCAGGCTTTGGATCACACAGCTATGGCTGTTGCGGCCATTTGAGGAGTGAACATCGGAAGGAAGACCTTTCTCTCTGACTCTCCTCACTGTCTATAATTCTACCTCTTAAATAAATAAATAAAATCTTTTTAAAAAAAGACCCTCAGCTGGCGCTGTGGCTCAATAGGCTAATCCTCCGCCTTGCGGCACCAGCACACCGGGTTCTAGTCCAGGTCAGGGCGCCGGATTCTGTCCCGGTTGCCCCTCTTCCAGGCCAGCTCTCTGCTGTGTGTGGCCCAGGAGTGCAGTGGAGGATGGCTCAAGTGTTTGAACCCTGCACCCCATGGGAGACCAGGAGAAGCACCTGGATCCTGGCTTCGGATCCGCATGGTGCGCCGGCCGCAGTGGCCATTGGAGGGTGAACCAACGGCAAAGGAAGACCTTTCTCTCTGTCTCTCTCTCTCACTGTCCACTCTGTCAAAAAAAAAAAAAAAAAAAAAAAGACCCTCTTGAACAACCCAACATGGGAATCGGGATACACAGCAGACTCATAGATTGGCAAATGCCCTAAACAGCACTCTGGCCTCAGAATCAGCCCTTAAGGCATTCGGATCTGGATAAAAAGCCCATGAGAGTTTCTTGGGCATGGAAAGCCAAGACACTCTGGCAAAAAATGACCTAAATGAAAGATCTCTGTGAGATCCCAGTGGAAATAATGGGCCATCAAACAAGAAGGTACCTTTCTCTGAAGGGAGGAGAACGTCCACTTTGACTATGGCCTTGGGTAAATCAGGTTGGAATTTGTGAACTCTACAGGCTTCCATAGCCTTGGCAGCTCATGACAAGAGCCTTGGGTGGGTGATTACTGACATCATAAATGAGAGTGTCAATTGGGGCTGACGCCATGGCACACTAGGTTAATCCTCTGCCTGCGGTGCCAGCATCCATATGGGCGCCAGGTTCTAGTCCTGGTTGCTCCTTTTCCAGTGCAGCTCTCTGCTGTGGCCTGGGAAGGCCGTGGATGATGGCCGAAGTGCTTGGGCCCCTGTACCTGCATGGGAGTCTGGGGGGAAGTACCTGGCTCCTGGCTTCAGATCCGCATAGCTCTGGCCCTTGCAGCTATTTGGAGAGTGAACCAACAGAAGGAAGACCTTTCCCTCTGTCTCTCTCTCTCACTGTCTGTAACTCTACCTGTCAAATAAATAAAAAAATAAAGAGTGTCAATTGTTAAATTAACAATAGGAATCACTGTGCACTTACTCCCCATGTAGGATCTCTGTCCTTAATGTGTTATACTTTGCGAATTAACATTAAAACCAGTCTTCAAACAGTACTTTATACTTTGTGTGTCTGTGTGGGTGCAATCTGTTGAAATCTTTACTTAGTATATATTAAGTTGATCTTCTGTATATAAAGATAATGAAAAATGAATCTTGATGAAGAATGGGATGGGAGAGGGGATGAGAGATGGGATGGTTTGCGGGTGGGGGGGTGGCTATGGGTGAAAAAAACGATCTAATCCAAAAGTTGTACTTTCAAAATTTATATTTATTAAATAAAGTTTTCTAAAAAAGGACTCTCTCTACTACGTTTTTGAAAGCTGTTGGCTTTCAGAAATGAACACATTGATCTGGGCATAAAAGAGAAGGAGACGTGGAAAACAGAAGAGATGCCAATTCACAATGCAGCAGGCAAAGTCCTGCTCCTTGAAACATAGGATAGAGGAGATCTGAGAATCTTAGAGTAATAGAAGATGTATTTCCTGCAAGTGACTTGACTGGTATGATTTTCCTGCAGGGTTAAGTTGATGGATTTGATCTTGGATTAAGGCAGTAGTTCTCAAAAAGGGGCAGTCCCAGCCCTCCTGGCCCACCCCAGGAGACATTAGCAATGTCTGAAGACATTTTTGGCTGTCACAACTATGGGAGGAGGGTGTTCTAGTGTCATCTACTACATAGATCCTAAGGATGCATCTAACATTTTGTTATGCACAGGGCAACATCCTACAACAATGAATGATCCAGCCAAAATGGTTAATAGTGCCAAAATTGATTAAGGTGTCCAAGCCGGGGTGCTGTATCACTAGGTGTGCAGCATTTGAATGGAGGGCTATACCCCAGCATATCTCTTGCTTTATACCTGCCCCTGTCCCGCATCCCCCTGCCTCCAACTCTGTATTGCAAGGCCACAAGTACCAAGCAGAATCCTCCCAGTCTTCTGGGTCATGGAGGTTAGACAGCAGACAGTTGAGTTAGGGGATTTTGCACTGCACCAGTCACAAAGTAAGAACACTATCAAAGGGCCAAGTCAAGGAACAGATAAAAGGAACAACTGAGAGCTTTACACTGTTATCTCATTTATTCTCTTATCAGGAAAGCTTTATTGAGCACCCTCATGCATCACTCTGCTAGGCATCAAAACTCAAGGTGAACACGACTAGACGTGGCCCCTGCCCTCATGGAGGTTACCAACAGGAGGCCGGCACACGGACAGGATTGAAGAGCAATCACAACAGCAGCTGCAAGCGCTCTCACATGTATCTAATCTCATGCAAACCACACAGCCACCTCACGAGACAGCCTTTATTCCCTTCTTGGATTAAAATCGTGCCCAAGGTCAAACAGTTTGTAAATGGCAGGGCTGATACTTCCGCCAAGTGACACTGAGGTCCCATTTATATTGTTCCGTATAACAGCGGTACTTTGAGGCACTCTTGTCTTCATTGGGGCTTAAATTTTGTTTCCTGATCCCCAATCACACGAATACAAAGCCCTTCTTATGAAAAAAAATGCCCCCAACCTCCTCCATCCTCTTGCTTATATCACAAGTGGGGATCATTTTCTGGCTGCTTCGTGGATACACATTATGCCGTGTGTTCCCAATTAGACTGCAAACTCCTGACCTGCACGGAGCAGCTCTCCCATTTCCTTTGCAACCTTGTGCAGTACTGCAGACACCAATAAATGCCCTCTGCATGAATGAACCTGTAGAGATAAAAACGACGGCATTCCCATTTATTGGTCTCATGCTTTTATTTTGCTTTGTGATAGGACTATCATAAGCTTGTAGAAGGTACAGAAAATGGCTCGGTGTTTTCCTTCCACTCGGCAGGCACTATGCAAAATTCGATCCTTGAATGCCTTTTTGATGCTCTGGATAATATTAGCACACTGGGGTGTTTTTGTGCAGCTAAGGAACGAGGTTGTCAGCCTCTGGGCGTCAGGGAGTGTTCCTTCCTTCCCACTGTAAACTCCCACGGCGCCTAGGTCACGGTCAGACCACTGCAGAAGCCCCCCCATGCTTATTTTTATTACTAAGGAAGCCGACTGTGAAAATGGCAAGCTCTTGCATAACCCCAGACCTTGCGAGGAAATGAGCAAAGTGGAACGGGATTTGAAGGCGGATCAGCCGCGGCCCGCAGGAGAATGCGGAGGCTTCCCTCTGAGAGCCCAGCCTGTCTGACAGGCAGCACTCGCGGTGCGTGCGGCCCGCAGTCCCGGGGCCCGGGACGCAGCAGCAGCCGCAGCCGCAGCCGCAGCAGCCCGCCCGCTCGCCGGCCCCGCGCGCCCCCGGGAGCTGTCCAGACGGCCCCGCCCGCGCCTACCTGGGCACTCACCCGCGCCGCGCGGCCTCTCCTCCTCCCACCCTGGCTGCGGGAGCCCGGCTCGGGCCTGCCCCGCCGCCTCCGAGGAGCCCCGCGGGCGGCCAGCTCGCTGCCTCCTCCCGGCCGGCCGCTGGCCCGGCCAGACAGTGCCCGGCGCGCCGGGGGCGGCGCGGTCAGGCTCGGCGGGGCTCGGCGGGCTCGCCCCCGGCCCGGCGCCTGCAGGGGGCGCGGGGACGGCCCCGCCCCGCCGCCTTCCCACTCCCTCCCGGCTCCCTGGATCCGCGCCGGGAGGAAATGATGTGTTGCTGCCTGGTTAATCACAGCTCCAGACACTCATTGGCCGAGCGCGCCGCAGCCACTTCCTCCTCCTCCTCCTCCCGCTCCTCCCGCTCCGGCTCCTGCTCTTTGCAGCCGCCGCCGCCGCCGCAGCCTCCCCCTCGGCGCTGGGGGAACTTTTCCACTCCCTGTGACCGTCTCCCCCGCCGCCCCCCGGGGCAAGCCCCCGGCCTGCCCGCCCGCCCGCGGCCGTCCTCCCCGCCCGCGCCTCAGCGCCTCTGCGCCTCGGGAAGTTTATCCGCCCGCCCTCCTCCCCTTCCTCCTCCTCCTCCTCTTCTCCACCCCGCCTCCCCTCCCTCCCCCGGCTCTTTCCCCCGGGTGGCTGCCGCCGCCGCCGCCGCCGCCGCCGCTGCCAGCCTGCTCCTCGGCCAGCCGCGCCGCCCAGCGCTGGGAAGCCCCCAGCCCCGTGCACCGCTCGGCTGCAGCCGCCGCCGCCGCCGCCGCCAGTGGCCAGCCGCCGGCCCTCGGCCCCGCAGAGTTCCGGGCTCCCTCGCCGGCTGCGCCGCCCCGCCCCGCCTCGCGCCTCCCAGCGCCGCGCCGACCTGCAGCGCCCGGCTGCTCGCACTCCGCCTCCCTGGGCTCAGCCCCCGGCTCAGCACCCGGCCGCGGCGGGACCAGAGGTGAGGAGAGGTCGCCGGCCTTGCGGGTCGGAGCAGGGGGGAGGGCGCCTCGCCCCAGGAGAGGCAGGCATTGGGGGCGGGAGGGTGGGCGTCTGCGGGTGCCTCCCCCTCGCTTTCATTCCTTTCTCCCCCTCGCTCTATCCGCTCTCGGTGCGGGTAGCCGCCGCGGACCCAAACTGTCTTGCTTTGGGCCTGAACTGCTCGCGGGATGTGGGGGAGGGCAGCGGCATGGAGCGGGGGTCTCGGGTTTGCGCTGTGCGGTGCGTGTGTGCGCGCGCGTGAGTGTGTGTGTGTGTGTGTGTGTGTGTGAGGGATGAACTCCTTCAGGGTGTGCGCCTCTGACTTGTACATCGATCTGGCCGTCCGGCTACGGGGCTCCCCTTCCTGGCTGAGCTTAGGAGCCAGTGGAGAGATGAGCGAAGCACCCCCACCCTCAAAATATCCATCCCTTCCAAGAGGAATTTTCTGTTGGAGAGGCAGCCAATAAACTCTGCTCAACTCCCTCCCATCCTCCCTCCCTCCGTTCTTCTTAGTGCAGTTTCAAAAAGCTTCAAAGCCAGGAATGTGGGATTCATCTTCCGATCCCCAGAAGGCAAATGTGGTTACAGATGTTGCACGGTACTTTGCCAAGTTTAAAACCCTTCAACACTGTAACCAAAACAGTGAGGCTAGAACCTTGGGCGCGCTCCGGAGAGATGTGGGGCTCTGGGGCCGCCGGATTCAGTAACTTCCGTCGGGTTCTAAACTGGCTCAGCTCTGTCCAGTTTGTGCCAGGTTTTCCTCCTGCCCCCTCCTCACCCGAGGCTCCCCTGGAGTTTTGAATGCTTCGTTGCAAGGGAGAGACGCTTGGAGAAAGCTACCTAGAGAAGGAAGCGTTCCACTTAGTAGCGGAAGACAGGTCCCTGTTAGAAAAGTTGTCATTAATTTGGCTTTTGGAGAAGGTAGCAAGGTAATACCATGGATTTATCAGTTTTATTGAATTTCCCCCTCTTTTTTTGAGAAACACCCCCCACCATGTGACAGGAATTAGATGATGGGGGAAAAGGGCCAGTCCCAACCTAATTTCCTCTATTTTTTGAGGAGAGGGCCCTGAAATGAGACGTGATCCTGTGGTGGTAACGATTCCAGCTCCAGAGATGCAGACTTCTGGGATGCATAGCCCAAAGGAAGGCGTGGGCAAAAAACAGGCACCACCTTCTCTTCCCCCAAAAAGCTCTTCCTGGGAAGGTGGTGGTAAGAAATTTCAAAGATGGGCCGATCCAAGTGGCGGGCCTTAAATGGAAACACTATAGTATGCCCTGGCGCTTGTCTCTGGAGGTGGGTTGCTGGCCAGGAGCCCAGGCTCCGGCAGCCAGCAGACACTAGACTGGTGCTGACCTCAGATGCCGGCCCCGCCATGCAGCTTTACAGGGTGCAGACTGATTAAATATGAAATACGGGCCTCACCCATTTCACTGACGTGGGCTATTCAGGTCGGGAAGTTACCCCAAGCCTCTGTAGGACCTGGGTCACTGTCTACGTGATTCAAGTGCTCTTGTTTTCTGTTCTGGAATTAAAAAAAAAAAAAGAGGTAGAAGTCTTGTGACGCTGGAATGGATGCCTAAAGTTGATGTAACCATGTATTGGATAATAGTGTTTCTTCTGTCACCCCTTATACACACACTTGAAGGTGGAATGATGTGGAGATGACTCCTGGGTAGGTGGCAGGCAGCAAGGTCGGGTTGGTTCATGCTGTTCTTTCCCAGCTGTATTGGGGAGTTTTACTTGAAGGGGAGAGAGTGGTTTTAAATAAAACTTGATTTAGTTGTCTCACAACTTTTGTGCCTTGGCAGAAAGTGATTGTTTGAATCTGAACATGTTGCTTATTAACTCTGAGTAACTTAAAGGAGTATTAAGGCTGCAGAGTTAGGATGCCACATTCAGGAATATAATGCATTTAATTTTAGAAGTGAGGAATTTAATTCATTTAATAGTATGGAATTATTTTTCTTTTCAAAGTAGTGGTTTGCCAGATTTTCTTCATGTGTCCACCAAAAATGTTATCAGGGATTGTGCTATTACATAGAGGTCATGCCTGACTCTTAGCCTAGACTGGACCGAAAGAGTCTCATGAAGATCGGGACAGCCTTCTGGATAGTTCTGAGGGTTGGGTTGAGTAGTCCAGCTTTGTGGGGCAGGAGGCAGAGGACAGAAATGGATTTGAAAAATGATCCTGCTATTCAAGGTCATGAGGTGAAGATTGAATCAATGTTGGGACTGGGAGTTGTCCTTTGTGGCTTGTCCGGCTGTTGGATCCCTGCATCTTGATTTGTTTTTGTGTGAAGACATCTCATGCTCAGCTCGTTTGGAATTCTGGAGAATAAGCTATTGGTGGTGGCAAAATCCTTTGATATGTTTGGGTGAATTTAATGACAGATAGACTGATTTGGGGGTGCTGGATATGTGCCAAGCAGTGTGCTCAGCTCTTACGTTCATTTTTCCATTACATTTTTATAATCATTGTATGTGTGATTGTGATTTCACCCTTCTACAGTAAGACATTGAGGCTTGGAAAGTGTAAGTGGTGGAGTGGGGATTTGAACTGGGGGTCTGGGGCTTTAGAACCCATGTTCCTGGCCACTTTTGCAGTGAGTGCCAAACTTCATTCATTCATTTAATGTTTTATGAGTTTACCATCACTAATTCTCACTTGGTCTGTTAATATTTTTCTTTAAAGCAGTGATTTACCTTTTTTTTTTTTTAAATAGAAAGTCAAAGATGTTATCTTTTAAGAGGAAACAATATATCACTGCCACATATGGAAAGCCAACTCACTTGTTAGGAAAAAAAGAATCCTAAAGTTGTATTCAGACTTGTACTGAAACCGTAAATTAAGGATAAAGTACGTATATGTTTTAAGGACACAAGACAAAGATGGAGGAGGTAGGTGACAGGGTGTTGATGGTGTTCTGGCTTTTCTGATTGTGTTATGAATTCTAGGGTGCTGATTTTATTTTGAGGCTTTATAACCTACATATATGATGCATACTTCTATTGTAAAATGCAAATAAAAATTGGACATGTGACTGTTAACTCATAGCTGATTACTTGGGGAAATGTTTCATTACAGTATGTTTGGTGCCCCTTAGACTTGGTGCTTTGTATGAAATTGTCACACAAGAGCCATGGCTTGTATTTATAAGGTGGGTTCATTGTTTGTCTTATATTATTCGTACTTACTTATATTATGTCTTACTTATATTAAGGAACATCCCCTGGATTTTCTGTTCCTCCCACTCTCATTTTCAGTATTGTGACTAAAATAATAGCCTGGCTGCAGTGAGGTTCTCCTGACTTCAGTTAACAGGGACATAAGTTGGACTGCAGCTGGCACCTTTCAACGTCACCTTGTCCTCTCTATCTAGTACTTGGCATGGGGCAAAGAGTGCTGTCCTGACGTGTGAAACCACTTTCCCTTGTGCTGGGTAGGTTGGGGGGGAGGGGGGTAAATGTGACATTCAGGACTGGGAGTGGTGTTTAAGTGAAAGCAGTGCCTGGGTAAAATGTTAACATTAAACTTGTGAGGCTGGGAAATAAAGCCATCAGAGATTTTAATTGGAATCCACAGAATCCTCTGTTTTATTTTCCCGAGCAAGTACTGGGCACTGTGACTTTATTCCTGGAAATGAGGATTTGGAATTGGGTTTCCTGGTTTAAAATGTCTTCTTTGATCTTTTGGAGTGAAAACTGTTTCTGTGGCCAACTCCAGCTCTCTGAAGAACCAAATGGAAGATTTACCTCTTCTTTTTTAGCAGTTGGCCAGGGGCTGCCCTTGCTTGCTCTGCTGGTTTGAGTCAGAGGCTCCAAACCAGGATTTGTGTGTTGCAAAGGACATTGAACTAAGGCCTGTTCTCTGAAACAGCTTCATCCACTTGGTGTGGTTGGCACACCATGGCCTTTGGTTATGACAGGAGGTAGTGTTGCTTGAACTTACATTCTCAGAATCCGCTAATAAGAGACCATGCAGCTTCCTTTCCAAAGTCAAAACAAATACATTCCCTGCCCTCCGTATTCAAACCGCCTGCATGGGAAAATAATATTCCTGGGTTCCTTTAAGCAGCCCTGGACATCTGGACTTGCTTCTGTGTCTGCAGGCGCATGTGTGATTCACAAGAGCTTTGTTTTCCAGAGCCCTTGCCACTCAGGTGTTTGACTGTGGGTTTCAGTCCCTGACCAACATTCCACTTGGCCCATTAGAGTGGCTTCATTGTTTACTCTGGGTGTTTGGCTTTTATTTCTGTAACTGGGAAAGTAACTTTCTGTCTTTCCAAAGGTTGTGCAGGTTCATATGGTAGGGGAAGGTTGTTTTCTTGGTGGGGGTGGTGGTGGCTCGGGTGAGGTGAAGGGGCCACAGTTAGCGTGGGGTCCTGATGGATCCCCGCTTGTTCGTGCTGAGGCCGGGCCTTGGCTGTCCTGATCCTCTGCATTGCCCTGCCCCCATCTTTTGGGGAAAGCCAAGTCCTTCAGTGCTCAGAGGAATCTCACTCCTAGCAAGAATGCTTCCCGGATTTTGCCTTTTGAGAATCTCCTAGCATTTTATCAGCCTCACCCCCTCATGCTAGGACTTGATTGATCTCTTTGAGGGCAAGGACTTCAAGTTATTCATTCCTCCATTTATTCTTCCCACACAACTCATTTGCCTTCACCAGTTTAAAACCTTTCATATTCTTTCGCTGGGCCCCTTGAGGGCAGGGACTGTGTCTTATTCATCTTTTCGCATCTAACCCAGTGCCTGACCCGGACCACACAGCCAATAAATTGTTTTTTATTTGCTGAGAGGATGAATGGGTAACTGTATGTTAGGGGAGCAAAGGGACTGTATCCTTTAAGAAGTCAGGAACATCTCAGAGAAGATGGTACAAGTCACTGTGCTCCTTAAGTACGAGTTTGGAAGTCAGGATGAAAAGCACTCCACATAGAAGGAATGATTTTTGATACCCATTTTTTATGCTTGATTGTAA